CTGTGTAGGGTATAGTTTTCAAGTGGTACAAGTGTAAGGCCCTGGATTCCATCTTTTATACCATACACAAAAAAATTAAAAAAAAAAAAAAAAAAAACTAAATATCCTAGTTCTCAAACTAAATAATGGTTTTAATAAAATTATCTCCAGATGATTTTTAAAAGTAACTCATTATCAGGAATGAGGAATTATAGAACCAGGAATTAAGACTAAAAATGTAACAATTACTCAAGGTTTCTAAAAACCAACATAATGTTTCAGAATTGCTATTATAAGTAATATGGGTCAAATCTTAAAGGACTATATTCAAAGACATCTGTAATTCTGAAACATGTTACCCAGTGTTGTTTTTAGTAAGTGGACCACCCTCTTGAACTTTATAATCTGTTAATAAGTTCTTTGTCACAGGACTGAAATCAGCATTTGCTGGTCTGTGACTAGCACATGGGTTGGTTCATCTAAGGTCATGAAATAGAATCCTATTCCCAACATACCCTGTACAATTTAAGTTCACAATTCTAATTGTTGTCCTATTCAAATTCAAACTTTTCTGAGTATCTTATGATGAAAAAAATTAAATCACGTAGCTGCAAAATATATAATCTACTAGTAGGTGTTTGATCTTAATGTTTGAGTTAGCATAAATTTATAACAGTTGAAGTGTTTAACATAATAAAACCATATTACAATTTACTATTTACAAAACTCATTTAATGCTCTACCAGATATTTAGGTAAGGCAAAGGCCTTGTTCTCACTGAGCTGACAAAACAAATACACAAACAGCTATACTATTAAATATTGTGGTAAATGCCATAAAGAGAGTTTACAGCTGATTGTGGTGGTAGTGCTTGGGAGGTTGAGGCAGGAGGATGGATGTTCCAGGACAGGCTGGGCTGCACAGGGAGACCCTGTTTCAAAAAAGCCAAAAACAAAAAAAGGAAGATTAGAAAAAGATACTATGGACCTTTAGAGAAGAAAGATCATTATCTGTTTTGGGTTAGAGAAAACAATGTGAACCTAACCATGGGGAAATGGGAGGGGAACAAGAAACATGTTTAGGAAACAAGAAAGGGATGACTTGGCTAGAGTTAAAAGTCCAATGCAAAGAGGAAATAAGATTCCAAAGCTAGATGGAAGCCACACTGCCTACAAACGGCTAAGTCAGGCTGAGGACACTGTGTGTGTAAGGACATATAAGTCACACACAGTGTGACTGTGCTTCCAACAAGACTGTTCCTCTTGGAAATGTAAGAGTAACTACTGAAATGAGCTGTGCTCACAGCATGTTACCAAGCTTGCAATAAACCAAGAGGAGCTGAACCAAGGTGGCTCCCAGGGAACAGTGGGACTGGAAAGGAGATGTTGTAAACTCAGAAGCTACTAGCCTTGGTAACAGATTTGGTATTCAAGGGTAATAAATGGGGTTGAGGGGAGTCAAACAACAATGCCACAGCTGTGATTCTGGGTAACCACAAGGATGTAATTGTCCAAATAAAAAGAGGGAAGTCAAGAGGAAGAATTGCACTTTTTGTATTGTTTCCTGAAAGGATGATCTAGGTCTGAACATGATAAATTTGACAAATCAAGTGCAAGCATCTGACAATTAGTAATATCACTAGAGTACAGAAGAGAAAGAGATCCCTATCCCCTCCACAGTCAAGATAGTTTAAGGAATGTGAGTAAACAAGACAAAAATAAAAACAAGGATGAAGATAGAATCATTTTAAAATGACTACACTTAAAAAACAGCTAAAGAAGGAAACCCAATCAAAGTAACTGTAAGTCTCAGGTAAAACAGTAAACAAAATATTCTAAGAGCTAGAATGTGTAATAGGAGTTTTATTACAGGATCAAACACCGAGAAGGAACCAAAAGAACTGAGGATGTATCGCAAGAGCACTTGCCTAGCATGCAAGACACTAAGCTCAATTTACAGCAGGAAGGGGAGGAGGAACCCAAGAGGAATAAGTACTGAGAAAAATAAAAGGCCACTGGAATGTGGCATTGAGGAGTTTCCTTATTTTTAAAAAGTCAAATAGCAAGGTCTACAAAAGAGGAGATGGCAGCAGGGAAGAAGGCATAGATCTGAATAGTTTTTTATGAGATAAGATAGAAAAATCCACTCTTCTATTGCTAAAGCAAAGAAGTATATCCAAACTCTAACATAAACCCAGTGAGATGCTAACAAACTAACTGAGGCAGGAAGGGAGAGAAATATAGCATTTGAGCATTTCCATGGATAAATATTCCCACTATGTCCAATTTCAAGCTGCTGATGTTAGTAAAACTGAAAATATAGCAATGTCTTGCTGGTAAAAACCAACTCTAGCACATCAATGCAAACCACCTTCTTTATGATCTACTCTGCAATTCAGAACCTCTGCAACAGGTTTCCTCTAAACTCATCTGACACTTAGTAATTCTCTGGGACAGCCTTGTAGCAATTCACACAAGTCTACCCTACTCTTGTTACATTTAGCTTTCTTAACTCTATTGCAACTGAAAAGGGTTGGATGTTGAAAGTAAAATGGCTCCAAGCATGCTTCTTTTCACTATAAGCCACAAAGGAAAAGAAAAGAATTTCATGCTCCAAAAGCTGCCAGATTACTGTTTATAACTGTTTCCTTTGTACATGTCATCTCCCCATCTCTATTAGCCTGTTTTGTGTTTCCAATAAGACAATACAGCAGACTAAGTTATAAAGAAAAGAGGGTTTTTTTGGGCATAGTTCTGGAAGCACCAAGTTGAGGGGCTGTATCTGGTGTCAAACGTCTTACTTGGCAAAATCCCAGGGTGGCACAAAGCATGATACTGCAAAAGACAAGGTGCACTAGGGCATATGGTATGTGTATGTTTGGTTTTTTTCTTTGTCTTTTATAAAGTCACCAAGATTTATGGGGGCTTCACTCTAATCAAGTTATCTGATTCTAAGCATTTCCCAAAGTCCCTACCTCTAAACACCACAGGTCAGATTAAAGTTCCACCCTGTTAATGTCTCACAGTGGGGATTAAATTTCAATATGTGAAGCCTTGTAGGACACTCAAATAATATCCACATAAACCCTTAAGGTCTTAAGGCCAGGGAACCTGATTCAAAACAAGAGTCAAACACCCCACGATTCCCAGTTAAAGTAAGAAGTAACAGAAAAATGGAGGAGTGCCTTAGACTAAATCCCCACTACTTGTTGGTGGCAGTTCCAGCTGCAAAATGGGACAGTGATACCTAGCATATAAGACAGGCCTTAGGTTTAATATGACCACATTTAGGGAACACCACCAGGAACTTAGCCTTCTGTGTTTGCTTGCTTGGTACAGTTTAAAAGCCACAACAGTGTAGACAGTGGACACTGCTCAAGTGTCTTACCAAGAATACCAGCAAAGCCCTCCTCTGTCTAGGAACTGTGGTGGTCAGCTGCTAATTTTCTATGGTCTATTCTCAATGACCTCCACCCATCACCTGAAGTCATAAATCCTTTCCCAGTTTGTGCCCTGGACTCCCAAGCCCCACAACAACATCAAAACCAAGAGTCCACCTTCCTCAGAAAGAATGAAAAGAAAGTTCTGACAAGCCTGATGAGAACACAACCTGCCAGCTGGGTTCCTACTTGCAACCACATGACATTCAGCATCTCCTGACAAGGTAACAAGTAAATTCATCAACAAATCAAAACAGTGGACCCATTCATCATAGAAACAAAACTCAGAAGAATCTAGTTTCTAGTATTTCACAATTTTCGTCTTCTAGTATTTTTCCAAATACTCCCGTCTGCATAACATTCCATATTTTATCATTTAGGTTATGCTTCCTCTGCAAATTTCCCCTCACAAGAAAGAACTATTGTCAAAATTATTTTTAAAAATTAAGCTAATAAAACATTTTTTTTGTTTTTTTTTTTTTGTGGGACTGGGGTTTGAACTCAGGGCTTTTCATGCATGCAAAGCAGGTGTTCTACCACTTGAACCACTCTCCAGTCCATTTTGCTGGTTTTTTTTGGAGATGAGGTCTTGCCTGGGCTAGCCTCAAACTGATCAGTCTCCCAAAAGTAGCTAGGATTACAGGAGTGAGCCACCATGCCTGGCTAACATCGATAAAACACACACACACACACACACACACTGTGTGTGTGTGTGTGTGTGTGTGTGTGTGTACATATATATATATGTATATAACATGTACATATATATATATCTACATTTTCCCACTAATTACTGTTCTACTCACAAGTGCATGGAGTCACAGATAAAAAAGAATAATTTAAATTCAGTCTATCTGCATATCAGAAAGCGTCACATGAGAAATCTGTCTCGCACCAAAGTTTCCCCCCCCACCAAGAGGGAGCAAAACAAAGGGGAGGGAAGCAAAAGAAGGTCGCCACTTGAAGATGAGTGACCACCCCTTTCAAGTGCCAACCTTCTTTCTACAAACTTGCTCTAAGTTCAGCTTCTTCCAAAACCTGAAGCCACACGGCCACCCCCGCGGCCCGCGGGATTGCTCCTTCCGGGGAACACTGCCCCTGCCTCTCGCGCTGGCAGGCGAACTCGGGCTCCCCATCCCCGGTCCCCCAGGCAGCGCCGCCCCTGCGCCTCGCTCCGGGCTTTGGAGGCGCTGGGACCCGCGGCGCGTGGGTCCGCCCGGGGCGGGACAAGCGCAGCGCGCACCTAGAGAGAGACCCGAGCGGCGGCGCTCGGACGTGAGCAGAGCCTCGGCGCTTCCCGTGACTGGAAGTCAGGTGCAGGGTCAGCGGGTCACCGCCCGAGGGCCGCGCGGGGACAGGGCCGCGTACACAGCCACCGAGCGGCCGTGGGCTCGCTGAAAGCCCTCCCGGCGCCCGGCCGGGGCAGGGCGGCGCCGCGCGGACTCGATCCGGACCGGGACACGCAGCGGCCAGACATCGCCCAGAGCCCTTCGTTCTGTCCACTGGGCCTCGGCCCGGACTCGAACCGCGCGGAGGGCGCGCGCCCGACAACCACGCAGACCCTTGTCCCGGCTGTACTCACCCCTGGCCGGTGTTGGCAGAGTCCACCTCCTCCTCCGCTGCCATCGCCGCCGCGCAGGCGCCCGAATATGTCTCGAAGCCGGCTGACAGGCCGACTGGGCCGCAAAGGGCCGCAGCCGCTCTTAAGGCTCCGCCGGAAGCGCATGCGCAGTCCGCCCACTAGGACGCCCCGGGAGGTGCGAAAGCGAGGCCGCGCCCACCCTCGACTGCGCATGCGCTGTCCCGCCCGGCGCGGCCTCCTGTGGGCCTGGCCGGAAAAGTCAACCTGGAGGAACTGGAGAGGCTCACGCCGGCGAGTTGTTTAGTAACTCGTTTGAATAATGACTGTATTGATGCATCATCCCGCTGGTACTCAATGTCAGGTGCTGGGCACGGGGGCGACCACCTGGCCCTGAAAGAGCCTGCTTTGTATCCCATAGAGCCTATAAGGGCGGGTGGAGTGCTCTTTTCCGTCCTCCGACCCCTGCAAGTGGGGTGGGCAGGGAGAGTACAGTGCTCTGGACCCTTCAGTCCACTTCAGAGTGTGGGGAACCGCT